AAAGATCAACTAATTGCTGCCTCTGCTTTCAAAGAACTCCCTCCTTGGGAGTGAAGCAGCTGCACATAATTAAATCCGCACAGAGTTTGGGAGAATTCCTTACCCCACAGCCCGCATGCAGTCCTCCGTTTCCCCCCCTCTACAAAGTGCTTCATAGCCAAATAGTGGAAGCAGCACATTTACACCTTTATCGAAGGCTCCTGAGCACGGACTGTGCCTCATGCCGCCACGTTGGTACTTGTGGCGAGACTTGCCGTCTCCTCGCCCTGAAGCCAGATTGTAACCTCTGCTGAATCACAAATACCTGCATGGATTGTGGGCTTTGTGTGTGTGTGGGGGGAATTTCTGAAGTCAAAACTATTAGTAGGATATGTCTGAATGTTATGTGTCTTGCATTTTTAGGGTAGAGGTTAAAAATGCAGGTCTAGGGGCTGGCCAGGTAGCTCAGCGGACTAAAGCGCCTGCTTAGACAGAGCACAGCGGCCGGGTTCGATCCCTGGCATAGTGTGCTGGCCCCACCCCCAGGTGTGTTGAGAGGGCACCTGAGACTGGGCATGGTGGCGTGCACCTGTAATCCCAGTGCTTGGGAGGCTGAAAACAGGAGAATCACTACAAGTTAGATCTACATAGTGAGACCCTGTAGAACCTGTACTAAATAAATTTTTTTAAAAATGCAGGTCTAAGTGTTCATGGGAGAGTACACCCCAACCCCAGGCATTATCTGGGATGTACTTCTGTGTGTGGCTAATGTCTCAGCTGCCCACAACATCACAAATGGACATGTATGAGACTTACATTGTCTTTAGCTCATGATTACTTAATGAAAGTCATTGGAACTAACCTTTGGTTAAGAAGCAAAGTTTTTTTCTTGTGAAATAAAGACCAAGTTCCATTACAATGAGATGATTATAGCAAAAGTATTGCCTTATGCTGGAGGGTGATTCACTAGAGCAAAGCTTTGTTGAGAGAGCTCTTTCTTTATCTTTCTTGCTCACCCTCCTTTGGCTAGAAGTACATACTAATTCCCTTCTCTGTCATTGGCCTTATGTTGGCCATTTTTAAAAATTTATTCTTTATTTTTTTAATGGACAAAATACCTGACATACACAGTTTAAAGGACTAGGTGTTTATTTTGTTTCCTGGTCTCTATTCCTGGTTGGCTGACTGCAAGGCAGAAATGTCATGGCGGAAGGCAGAGCCAAGCTTTTCAACCCACGTTGTCCCGGAAGCAGCTAGAGATGAAAGGGTCAGGAACCAAATATGCCCGTGGTCCTGCCCCCAGGACCCAACCAGACATGCCCAGAGTGTGCCCTCCTAATTGCGCAGGTGTCTTTCTGGTCAGTAAAGTCGACAATCAAGACTAACCACCACAGGCCCTGTGCCAGATACTGACATAACAGATGAATTACTCTCAGCAGCCTCAGAATAGTGATCCGCACAGACTGTACACAGGAAGCATGCTCTGTTAGGAATGCTTACTTTAGGTCAGGTGGCAGCTGCCATCTGAAACGAAAGAGTTACTTCCTGGTATTTATATCGTGACCAGAGACCAGAGTGGACCCCAAGTCAGAAGAGAATGGATTGCAGAACCAGACACTGGAACGTGCAGCTTCTCAGGATGTTTGTGTGATTTTTCTTCCACACAGTCTCCTAGGTCAGCTGGTGCATTCCACGTTGCTGCTCCTGCAGCATCACTGCCAGGGCTCGGTGTCGCCTTCTGTCATTGAAGAGCTGTTCACATTACTTAGGTTCCTTCACCGCCATGTGTCAAGTGCTGTGTGAGCTTTTTTTTTTGCTTTTGCAGATATTGTTTCATAAAATCTTTTTTTTTTTTAAAATGTATTTGGTTGTTACAGGGTCTCACTACACAGCTTCAACTGGTAGTGATCCTCCTGTTTTCAGCCTCCCCAATGCTGGGATTACAGGCATGTGCTTTTTGCCTAAGCTTGCCTAAGCAGGCTCTTTAGTCTGTTGAGCTATCTTGCCAGCCCCCATAAAATCTTGTAAAACAAAACAAAGACAACTCTGCACAGTAAATGATATTCTTTCCACTTTACAGATGAAGTTGTTGAGACTCAGAGAGGTTAACCACTTGGCCTAAATAACTAAGACTGCAACCAGGAAGAGGCAAATTCAGTGTTTGAAACCCACATCTGTTGGATTTCAGAATTGTTTTTCCCACTATGTTCTGCTGTCTCTTTAGGTATTTGAACAACTCCTTCTATGGAGTTACGGTTTCTCTGAGAAGTAGGCATTGTGGTATAGGGATAAGGGTAGAAGCTGTGTAGTCAGGCCTCAGCCTGAAATCTCTCTACAAGTGTATCAGGCATCTCTTCTCTTATTTTCCATGCAGGGGAAACTGAGGCTGTGGATAGTAAGTTACTTGCCTAAGGCTGTGTAGCCAGGAGGCAGCAAATCTAGTTGTGATCTACTCTTCTTTGTTTTCTCTCTGACCCACCAACTCACCTTTCAAATAAGCTGAGCTGCATCTCTGGAGATTTAAGCTTGGTTTCAGGAAGTGTTTCTTGATAGGCTTGTGTGTTAGTGAAAAACCTTACAAAGGAGCCATCATGACAGCTGCTGGGTACTAGAGGACTTGGAAATGAGAAAAATACTCTCCTGCTGGGGATGCTGAAAGTTACCACTGTTTAATGTTGCTTCATGATACCCTCAATATTTCTCAAATGGTCAACTGACTTTTGGTTTGTGTGAGGTATTATACTAGACACTGAGAACACAAGGGTGAAAGGCCATGTCCCTGCTGTAAAGCAGTGTGCAATCTAGTTAGGCAGAGTGTAAATAAGTAAGTGTAAGCCAACTGTCATTCCCGTGTTGGCCCCCAGACCACAGTATGTTTGTTGGGGTAACATATACAGTGTGTATAAAGAGCTTTGGAAGCACAGAGAGAAAAACTATGACTTTTACGTAGTTTGGAGTTGAGAAAAATAAGAGCTGGGAGGCCAAGTAGGAGTTTTGGGAGTAGGAATGGAATAGAGAGCTGAGGGGTTTGCAGGCAGGGGGCCCAGCACATCCACAGCATGGGGTGTGCAGGGAGCCATGGTTAATCTGTAGGAAATCTCCAGGGGTGGAGTCAGGGCATGTTTCTTGAAAGGTTGCTAGAACCAGCATAGGTGTCTCAGGTGGGGAGTGCGCATACCGATGAGTTTTAGGCCTGTCGATGGTTTGTTGTGGTGGATTCACTCTCTTGAACATTTGCTCTGAGCAAGGGGGTAGATGGAGAGGCAAGAGGTAAGAGGTTTCTGTTGCTGTGGCAAAATACCCAAGAAAATCAGTTGAAAAGGAAGAAAAGTATATATTGGCTCAACGTTTCTGAGAATTCAGTCCATAGTTGCCTGGCTGTGTCACTTTGGGTCTGTAGTAAGACAGAGTGTCCTGGAGCAGAGTGCAGAGCGGAGCCCAGCTTCTCCCTCTGGTGGCTGAGAGGCGGACAGGGAGCCGGAGGGATCAGGCGCAGTCTTCCCTTCAGGGGTGCACCCCCATAACTTAGCCTCTTTCCATAGGCTGTACCCCCTGAAAGTTCTGCTACTTCTGGTAGCATTGCAGGCTGGCCTTGGGGGACATTTAAGATTAAACCACAACAGAAAACACTAGAGGCAGGGAGGCTTATAGGTGGCTGCTGCAGTAGTGTTAGCTCAGTTACTGCTGTAACATAGGAGTGCAGGGTACTTGTCAAGGAGATTCTGACGTAAACATATTTCATTTTCAGATTCTAAAGTTTGCCCAACTGATAACCTTTCCATAGTACCGGCATGCATAGAGAATCCTGAAGATTTGCTGGACTCAACCTCAGTATCTACTCAATTGAGTTCTAAGAGTCAGATTTCTGTTAAAGACAATGTAATCTGGACGGATGAATCTGAGAACATTGACATCTCAAGTGATACCGAGTACTTAAAACAGAAAATCCGTGACTTGGAAACTGAGCTGGATGTCTACCAGAAATTTGTATTTCAGTTTCACAAGCATTCCCAGTGCAGTGAGGCCATTATTACAGTCATGTGTGGGACAGAAGGGGCCCAGGATGGTTCCAACAAGCTCAAAGGCAGCACTGATGAAGAAGAACGGACCTTTTCAAGTCTGCACCAAGTACAGTATGTAAAACATATGAAAATCCTCCGTCCGTTGTCCCCAGAAATGATTGATGGCAGGATACTGGAAGGCCTCCAACAGCAGCTGGTGAAGCACGAGTATGAGCTGCAGAAGGAGCAGAATTTGAACCTGGAACTCTTTAGTGACATCCATAACATGCAGAATAAGTTCAGAGATCTCTCACCCTCAAGGTACACTCCACTTTTGCCTTCTCCGCTGTCTAAGTTTGCAGCCTACCATGCTGCCACTGGGCAGAGCTGGCGTGGAGCATGACTGTTGCACAGCGCTGGGGAGGACTTTGTGGTGGGGTCAGGGAGCCAGGCCCTTGCAGGAATGAAACCTGTGGCCACAAAGCTTCATCAGTCATGAGTTGAGTGTCCTCTGAAATTGGCACAGCAGAGCTTGCCTCCTCGGGCTGGGGCCTGGGGTAAAGGTTTCCTGCCAGTCACTTGGTGAATTACAGCATGGCAGCTTTACTGCAGTGGTTATTCTTGGATTCCGTTGCTGGCTTTTGCTGCACAATGGAATGAAAACATGTCCTGGGCAGAGTGGGAGGAATATAAATATTTTTCATATCTTTACCCTTTCAGGTCATCTTAGAAAAATAAGGCTGTATTGAAAGAGAAAGAATTCTTAGGTCATGAAGATAATGCCTTATGGGTATAAATATATACAGTTTTGTTTCATGAGATATGGCAAAAATGGGGTCATTTGTAAACTTGACCTTCATTTGTCACTAACTTGAGACAAGCGCATTATTCTGAGTTGTCAGGAGCCAGAGCGAGCTTTTTAAGACTTCCCAAGCAGGGAGATTGAAGAAAGCTTGTATTTACTGGTGGGTTGCTGTGTCAGGCCCCTGGTTAACAGAACTTTTCTTATTTAATTCCCCAAATGCTGAGCATGAGGTGCTTTCCTGTTGTTTCTGTAAGTAAGGAGCCTCACACAGGTTGCTGTGGCTTGTCTGCGAGTATTCTAGGGCTGTCAGAGCTGCTCCAGGGCTCATGTTCCTGTTGTCCCACTCTAGTACCCATGTTCCTCCTCTTCTTTTAAACCAGCCCCTCCTCTGGCACTGGGGTCACAGGCTCACCAGGCCCACATACTCTTGTTGTTTCAGGGAAGGGCACCGAGGGGAACTGAAGGCTCCACCGACTCTCTGGAGCCAGGTGACTGTGGCTACAGTTGATGTGAGCCTCTTGCCCTCAACCTGTGTTCTGAGCTCCGGCTAACACTCCTGGGTCCAAACAGGAAAAGATAGCCCTGGTGCTAACGAGGCAGGATTGCATAATCAAGCTTTGCAGAGTTGTGTGCGAATCCTGAATCTTCCTCACCACCTAACGTTGTGATAACTTTTGTTTCCTATGAAAGGAAGCATTAAAACATTTGTTAGGAGTCTGAGAGACTCAGACAGCTTATGTGAACTGCTTCCATCACTGATCGACAGGTCCTGTGTACCCTGCTAGTGGTGGCTAGGAGTATGACTGTCCTCTGACCTTTCACTTGGAGGAGAAAGTTCTGTCTTATACTTTCTCTTTTGAAAGTCAATGAGAGTCTTTGGTAGGCTCCTGAATGCTTGGGACCCTTGTTTCTATAGTTCATAATAAAACTAGTTGTTCTCTTGAGTCCTTGTCAATTTATATTTTAATTGGGGCTCTACAAGGTTAAAACTGTTGTGGAAGAGTTTGTTCTAGCTCTTTAGCTCTTTAATCTTGAAGGAGTGTATTTGTACAGTGTCAGTTTTTCTAAAACTGTATGTTTGTACAGCTGCAGGTAAAAAAGTTTGCTCTGTCATATTTTAAATCAGCATTAAGGTCACAAAAATTCAGTTCTAAAATGATGCAAGCATTTTCTTCCTCTCTTTTATCAGTTACGATTCATTAGTTCAGTCCCAGGCCAGGGAACTCTCCCTTCAGCGACAACAGATTAAGGACGGCCACGGCATCTGTGCGGTTTACCGTCAGCACATGAACACCATGATTGCGGCGTTTGCAGAGCTGCTGCAGGCCAGCGACGTGGACGACTGTGTGGCCACGGGTTTTCAGGAGCAGCTGAGTCAGTGCGCGGCGCTGCTGGAGCGATTGGAGAAGCTGTTCCTTGGCGGTAAGTGCGGTGGAGGGGTGTCCTTAGACGGTCAGTGGTGGACCTGGGACTTCCTGAGTGGGCCTGAGAGGAAGGGATGCTTTGCTGTCCCCTCCACCTCTGCCTTGGCGAGGTGACAGCAGAAGGCCCTGGCCGCTGTTTCCGGTACTGGTGACGTGCATGTGGCTTCTGGTCTGTGCCAAGCCACAGGGCCAGGTCAGATGTCTTCTGGGCCAGACTAGCAAGGTGTGTGAGTGCTTGCCCATTCTTTTGTATTGCCTAGAAAAATGGTGTGTGTGTGTGTGAGTGTGTGTGTGGTGTGTGTGTGTGTATACACTCATGAGTGCTAAACCAAAACAAAATAGTTTCAAATATATTCAAGGGTCAGGAGTGACTGAGAAAGGATGAAAGAAAATCTTAAAATTTTTGCTGTATGCTAGGTTTTTTTTTCCTTTCCTTTTCTCCTCCCTCCCATCTTTTCTCTCATTTATTTATTTATTTATTTATTTATTTATTTATTTATTTATTTTGTATTTAGGACAGGGTCTACAAGGTCTCACTGCATAGACTGGACTCGAAGTGATCCTCCTGCTTACAGCCTCCTAAGTGCTGGGATTACAGGTGTGCACCGCCACACCCAGTCTCAGTTGCCATCAGTGTGCCCTGGGGGTGGGGCCGGCTTGGCAGGTCCAGGGATTAAACTCCCCAGCCCCTGTGTCTGCCTGAGCAGGTGCTTTAATCCACTGAGCTCTTCGGCCAGTCCCTTTGCTCTCTTTTGAGACAGTGGCTTGCTATGCTGCCCAGGCTGTCTCAGACTTCTGGTCTCAAGCAGTCTGCTGGCCTCAGCTCCTTAGCAGCTGGAACTGCGGGTGCATGCCACCACCTTGGCTTATGCTATTATTTTAACAATGTTACCACATAATTTTTAGATGTTTTTTAAAGACTATAACAAAGAATTCCCCTTCACCCTTCATCTAGCTTCATTAGTTAGTAACATTTTACCCTATTGGTTTTATTTTCGCTCCACCTACATACTATATTGCTGACTCTCTGAGGGTGTGTACTGACCACTTGATATCCCTTCCCCATAAGCTACTCCAGGTTATTCTTCAGGCTAAAGACATTCTCTTCTGTATAATTATCAAATACTGCTATTTAATGTGGTATGTATTCAGATTTTTATTGATTCAACAGTGTTTATGAGAGGTTTTTTTTCCTGCTTCTGACTGAGTCTCACTCCATGTTACGATTTTCTCCCCCCCCAGGATTGAGATTAAACCCAGTGCCTTGTACATGCTAAGCAAATCGTCTGCCACTGAGCTAGGCCCACTCTAAGCCTTCCCCTGCCCTGGGGTCTGTCATTGCTCTTCGAACTTGTTTAATCTGGGCCCTTCCTTACACTTTCTTTATCTTTTATGACATTTGCATTCTTGAGGAGTTCAGGCCAGTCCCACATTTTTTGAATTATCTGTTATTTCCTCCTGATGAGCTTCCTGACAAGCTGAGATGAGTTATGCACTTTTGCCAGAAAGCTACACGAACGGTGTTCTGTTCTCGTGATGCCGCGCTAAAGAGATACACAATACCAGTTTTCTTGGTCTTGGCGATATTAACTTTGATGGACTTTGGTGAGATCTGTCTGGTTCCTCCATGATAAGATACAGTATTCCCCTGTGAAATAATTGATGGGAACACTTTGCAGCTCTCTAAATAGTCTACTCCTCTCGAACTTTACTCAGGCTTGTTAGCATGCATGGATGATTCTTGCTGGGGTCAAGGATTTTTATGGTGGTGGCTACCTGGTGGTTCTTTTTCTAACGCCATCTCCTCCTTCCTTTATTGTTAGGTGACAGCTGGTGACAGCTGCTAAAAGGATGCCTTCTCTACTAAACCCATTTGTATGTTTGTTGTTCATCAGCTTAGGCTAGTAGGGTGTTGTATTCAGTGGACTCTTCCATTCTGCCTTTCATATTGATGTACTCATGGTCCCACGCTCGGCGAATTGCAGTTCCTTTTGATTCATTTCCATATTTTTTCAGGAGGACTCTTATTTCCTCCCCCCCCCCCCAAAAAAAAAATGTTCCAGGCTCTTCTCATACTGTCCCATTCTCTCAGCCACTTCTCCAAGCAGCCTTGGTTCCTTTTAGTAGGGAATGCTCTTGAAAAACTAAGACTTGGTACTGGGTGAGTTTATTGCTATGGGGGTGTCATTGTTTCTAGGCCCTTTAGCAGGAAGAATGTGTGTGTTTGTAAATGTATAATTTACTTTAAAGAATTATGACATTTGCTACTACCTAATAATTCTAAGCCACACTCACAGAGTTCTCTCTTGTGTTTTCCACCTCCATGTTTGTAAATTCTCTCTGTTGCTTAAGCAGTAAGAACCTGGCTCCTACAGCATCAGTCTTGCTACTGATTTGCTCATCTCCGTGATATATGCAAGAGACTCCAGAATTGCTCCAACCACATCACTATGAAAGGCCTGCTAGAATTCCACAATTTGCTTGCAGTTCTTTTTGGTTTTAGGCCAATGGTGTATAGTTAGGTATTGACTTTAAAAGGTACTTTGGCAGCTAGGGAGATAGCTTGGCAGCATAAACACCTGCCTGGCAAGTGCAAGGCCCTGAGTTTGATCCCCAGTACTGCATTCTGTGCCAGCCCTGGAACCCTGGGTGTGCTGTGCCAGCCACAGAACCGGGCATGGTGGCACACACCTATAATCCCACCACTCGGAAGGCTTGAGACAGGAGGATCACTATGAGTCCAAACTGTATAGTGAGATCATGTACCAAAAGTTAAAAAAATAAGTAAAAAAGGTATTTGATTTCATTCTTTCCATATGTTGTCACATTGTTTATTGGAAATATAAGCTCCCTTTGTCTCTACCTATATTCCATTTTAATTATAATTTTTATTATAACCCTGTGTCCCTGTTGATTTAATTTAATTGTTTGAATACACGAAACATTAATGCATAAATGCAGTTACAATGTCAGTACTTTAATCCTTTTCAGTTGCTCCTGTGCTGTCTTTTTCAGTGCTGGAAGTCAGATCTGGCATCCCACATGCTAACTGACCATGCTACCGCTGAGCTGCACATCCTGGAGTTGTTATTTTGTCCCTTTCCTTTATAACCAGCAGTATTACTTTCCAGTCCCTTTTCTCTCCTAAAGCCATTAGAGTTGGGCTTTTAGTGCTCCTAGCCTCGCCCCTGAAATACTGTGCCTGTCACTGACATTGCAAAATTTAGCGAATAGCACTTGTCTCCATCTCTGAGCTTGCCGTGGTCGAGTCCCTGACCTGGGGAAGTGCTTCACTCACCGCTTCTAGGATGACCCCGTTCACTGTCTGTCTTCGCCCACTGCTGCCTCGAAGCTCAGCCTTCCCTTGCACGTGTTTGGGTGGGCATCACGGCCCTACTTTGCCGCCATTGCAGTTTGCTGGCTGCTGGCCTGTGCGTCTGCCCTTGCCCCCTGCAGCCCACTTTGCACGCACTCTTCTGAGTGACTTGTTCAGGTATGAATCAGATCGTGTCCCTTCTCTGCTCAGAAATCAGGCTTTCTTTTGTGCTCCATGTGAAAGTGCAGATGAGGGCCTCCAGCCTGTGCCAGGACAGCTACATCATGGACTTCATCTCTCTTCATCCCCTCCAGCTCCTCCGGTCCTCCTGGCAGGCCGCCCTGACCCTGCAGTTTTCCCACTGTGCTCTTTCTTCAGGCCTTTGCACTCTCTTCTCTCTGGTGCCCCTCATCCTTTTCCCTTTGCCACTTTGTTGAGAAGTTGCCAGCTTCTCTCTGGCAACTCTGTGCCAAGGAGCAAGGCCCTGCCCCATCATGACGGTTCCTTTCCCCCTTATCCTGCTGTTCCTGTTCTTTGGCTCACTCCATCTGTACAACACCCAGCTGTTGGAGCTCTGCTTCCTTTGCTAGATGGTGAGCCCCACTCGGCCACATGCAGCGTGCCTGACATGTGCTGCTGTAGTGCCAGGGCACAGACAGTGTCTGCATGGAGTTGTCACTCAATGCATATTGTTTGAGAGGCTCAATAAATGAGTGAGTGAATAACTGAATTCCATTTTGTAATGTGGAGCATGTGGCCCGCTGAGGGGAAGTCTTAGTTACTTTTTACTCATTGCTGGGACAAATACCCGACACTCAGAATGAAGGAAGGAAAGGTTTATTTAGCTCACAGTTACTGGAGAGTTCAGTCCATATTCCAAGGCAAACGACAGCAGTTCATGGCAGCAGAAAACAATGAAGAGCAGAGGAGGAGCAGCAGCTGTGGCGTCCATCAAGCCTCTCTCTTCCTTCTATGCTGACTGTGAAGACCTGTGCTCCACTGTGAAGATCAGAGCTCCTCCAAAGTGGTGCTAGGGAGATAGCTCAGTAGAATAAGTGCTTGTCTGGCAAGTGCAAAGACCTGAGTTCAATCCCCAGTTCTGCAAAAAAAAAGAAAAAAGAAAAGAAAAAAAAAAAAAAAAAAAAAGTGGTGTGGCTGTGAAGACTATGTTCCTCCAGACACGGACTTCTCCAAAGAAGTGGGGCAGGGCAGCCAGCTGGAGCCTTCTTCAACTCCTTTATATACACTTTTTGTGCTGAGTCACTCTGGGAGGAAGTTGGTTCCTCAGGGCAGAATCAATTGCACCCCAGGGCAGGCCCTCTACAGCCTGGAACTGTGCTGAGCAGATTCAGCCAAGTTGACACAGCGTATCAACCACTACAATCCACCCAGACATATAAGCCAGTTTCTAGGTACATACATATGCTTATTAACATTTTACTACTTGAACATTGTAGAATATTAGAACCATAACATGTTGTCCTTGGCACCCCAAAAACTCATGCACATCCCTTTATGCAAAAGGCATTTTAGTGTATCTATAAGAGTTGCCAAAGTTGTAAAAGTTTCAGCAGTGTTGAAAAGTCCAAGTCCCAAGCCTCCAAGATGTAAGGCAAACTCTTATCTGTAAACCCCTCTACAAATGAAAGTTAAACACTTCTAATATTCAAAGGCACAAGATA